CAAACCGCGAGAGTCGGCAGATATTTTTAGATATATAGCATGAGTCAACGTTGAGACGACGATTCACACGTAATGCATCCCATTTTCTTTCTAGTAGAATATCTTTGGAATCCGTGTGCAGTGTGTCGTGTTTTTGCAATTTCTGCTAACGTCCATCTAATTCATGCAGTAAAATATCGCTGTAATATTTTAGATTCATATCGTGGATCGATACCGTCATCTCTGACGTATTCTGTTTTATGAACGCGCATTGAATGGAAATTCCCTTGTTTTAATCGCATAAATTACGCGACGACAATATATTTTGCGAAATATTCGCGATGCAACGGCGACGTCGAGCGACAATAGAATGCTGTTCTCTTTGAAGCGGCTTCGATGCAGAAAGTACCCTCCAGGAGTCTCCGTGTCTTGATTTAAATGCGTACGAGGACTTTGGTGGAGCTACACATGCACTTGTATGCGTGCTACTAGAATAGCAATGGTAAGTTATTTTCAGGTGACACTTTGGAGAGGAGATTCGTGCGAGCAGTGTCACTCATAGACGTTCACTCGCCGAAGCTCACGCGTGACTCTTAGAAACCGCTAAAAATTTTGTTTCATCACGTCGGCGGAAAACATTCTACAATTCACATCACACTTTTAATCTCTCGAAAGATAATTTATTGAAGTGAGAATAACAGTCTAGTAACATTAGATACGAAAATTCACTCATTTATCGTAAAAATTTTAGACAAGAAGTATTATTTTCATCTTCAACTCGTGATACAAAATCTATGCAACATTTAGCGCGTTAATAACATTTATTTAATTCGCTAATTAATGCCATCTTGGTTTGGAATTTAAAATATACTATTTTAAAGATGTTGTCAAAAATACTCCTTGCTTAAAATAGCTGTTCAAATCAGACTCATTTTTCTGCGATATTTCCTTATCTTTCCGCGTATTTTCCTGCATCGCGCTATCATCATCGCGGGCTATTATTGCACGCACGCACAGTTACAAGCGAGCATTCACGCAGGCAGCGTCTCGCGTACACAGTGTGATCAAAAGCGGAAAAATATTTTACAAAACACTTCGCTTTTGATCCCATGCGAAAAGAGGACGAGTGCACACAAATGCGAGCAACAAGCGCGATGCAATTGAAGCACACAAGTATACCGCGGACCTGTTGCGCGTCATTCATTTCAGTACTGATTCGGTCAATGTCTGTTAAACCAGCAATCAGCCGGCGCACTGTCGATAAAGTTGACAGATATTAACAGGAATCAACGAGAATCAACGATACGCCTTTAATCATCTTTGACCGGTGGAAAAAAGCATTTTACGGGAAACAACGATTGATTGCCCGAAACAATCACACGAAATAAAACGCTTAACCCTTTAATTTCCATTTGAGATAAAGATGTACTGCAGTTACGATGTATCGTGCCTGGATATGTTATTTTTATAATTCATTTTGACGATAAAAGTAATAAAACTTAAAAGGAGGAATTTTTAGGGAAAGAATTTACTGATTGTAGCACCAGAATGCATAAATGAATAAATTAAACAAGTGGATAAGCGTTATTGCAGGTATCTCAAGTATCTCAAGGGCAATTTGGCTGTGCCTTAAACCGTACACTATGACGAGAAGGGAGTCTATACCGAGTATCGAAAGGTTTGGCAGTGGCTCATGGTCAAGCAATTTGAGAAAAGAAAGTGCAACGAGTGGCGGACTGCCAGAGTTATTTTCGCGGGACATTTCTTTTTGTATCAATTCTGAACAAACCTATCCCGTTTTACAGACCGAAGAAAAAAAGAGAAGCTTTAGGAAATCTTAAAAACTGCGTACTTACGCAGAGAGATGCATATGCAAAAATTCATTGAGTTGTTGAAGAGATTCCGTAGGATTAAATTGATATACGACTCGTGCGCGCGAGGATGTAAAATTAGCGGCGGAAATCGCGGCTTGAGAATATTTTAATTGGTGTGGCCGATCAAGAGACGTAGCAGCGAGAGTCGCGAGCAGCGAGGAGGAAAAACGGAAGGGAGAATCGCTTAATTCGCACGCGCGCACCGCCGGGATATGTAAATTTAATAACGCCAATTTGGTATGGGTGCACCTCGCGGTGCGCGGCGGCAGGGGACAGTTTACATGTGCCGCCGGGTGCATTATGCATGCGTATTGTGTAC